CTCCTGCCGCCCTCGGCCTCAGCTTCCCCTTCTGCAACTTGGAATTTCATAATAGACAGGGACTGTTCTGCGAAGACCTGTCTGCGTCTTACACACCACCCCACTGCAAGAATCCACCCAGTGCATGAACACCCATCCAGCTCAGGAGCGGGGTAAGAGATCATGCCACTATCTCACAAATGAGCAACTCTGCTGACATCCATGATAAAGGAGGATCGAGTCTGCCGGGTTTTCTCTGAGTTGCTTCCCAAACCTAACACACTTTGTTCTCCATGACCTCTTTGAAACACTGGGCACTCGGCAACAGCAGCACACACTGCCTGGCCTCGGGTCATCAAAAGCTGAGGGAAACTGAGCCTGGGCAGGTTGGACAACTCGCCTGTGTGGCTGGATTTGAGCCCAGCGTCTGCACTGCAGAACCTGCCATGGAGCTTAAGCAGAAGCATTTGCATCTTCTTCTGCCTCCAGGGCTACACTGAGGACTTCAGTGTCACCAAAGACTGTGGGCAGCACAGAATGGGCTTCCTGGTCTCGTGGGCAGGTTCAGGATAAGCCTGGACTAAAACACAAGTCAGACTTTCAGGGCTCACCTTGGCTGATACAACTTCACTGCCCCGGGGTGACCGATGTACTAGCATTTCTACTTTTAAACTTCAACTCGTGTCCCAGAAGCCATGCGCTGGACTGAGAATCTAACTCCCTCCTCAGTGCCCACTGTATCCCATGCCCAGCCCCACCCACTGGCCACGGTAGAGCCACTGGCTGATCTTCTCCTGACCTGCTGGAGGTAGACAAGGAAACAGCATCCTACATCCTCCTCCTAGATTTAGCATCTCCAGGCCTGAGATTGAAGCCCCAGAGTGAGGCACAGGTTCGCTGAGAAGCCCTCATATCCTAGGGTCACAAACTTGGGGTCCCTACCATTGAGTGTTGGTGACTAGGGTCTATGTTATATCATCTCCCCAAGTTTCAGCAGCCTTGGGGAGCACAAAGTGGGGCCGTGATACTTGGTGTTTATTGAGTACTTACTGTACATCAGGCCTGATGTCACATAGCCCTCATGACACTCAGACACCCAGGGTCCTCCCAGCTCCTTCTCCCCCACCCTTACCCCACCCAAGCAGGCTAACTCTGTGGCCTCTCCTTCAGCAAATGCTGAGCATTCTGGAATGACAACGCTTTATGGCCAAACAATGAAGGCAGCAGACAGCGCTGTCATTCACCCCACCCCGCCCCTGAGCCCCAGCTCAGCAGGAAGGGCGTTAAACCCTCAGAAAGAAGAGGGAAAAGGATCGGCTAGAAGTACTATGTGCAGCTAAAACAAGTCAGCACTCTCACAGTCTGTTGTGGGGGGCCGGGGGGGCTTCTCAGAAAGCCTGGCAGGTCCTGGGAAGGAGACACTTAAGGGAATCTTTATCACAGAGGAAAATGGAAAACCCACTAAAGGCCCATCCATAGAATGGGCAAACAGCGACACTCCTCGGTAGAATACAATGGTGAAAATGAACTTGGATACACGTACAAGCACAGGTGAATCACATAAATATAATTTTGAGCCTAAGCAAGTTGTAGGAGCATGTGTAAAGCACACCATCTATTTGGAAATCAGCATGCAGAGAAATTCCACGGTGGTGTGGAGTGCCCTTTTCTACTTCAAGAATTTAGATGTGCATGGCAGAGGTGAGGGTGCTTTGCAGGACTTCCATGGGGTCTCTGATGAGGATAAGTGGGCTTGGTGTATGTGCTAGCTTTCCGTGGCTGTGACAAAATCCCTGAGACAATCAACTTAGGAGGAGGAAAAGTGTGTTGGGCTCACAATTTCAGAGGTTTTGGATCACAGCCACCTGACCCTGGTGTGACAGGAGTAAGTGGTGGGGAGAGGGGAGACAGAAAAACTTGTCTCCTCCCAAGGCTAAGTGGGTCCACGCAGAGGCAAGCTGAGCCCTTGGCCCACCAGAGAGCCTCCCACAACCCCATGACAAGCCGTCTTGCAATCCACTTAGCAACACGGACTACGGGAAGACAGAGCTGGGTTATCCACCGAAAGGGCCAGGCCCCTCTGCTCCTTTTTTCACCACGTACAGGGGAGCCACCAATAAACACAGCCACCTCATAAAGCCACTGCGAGGCTTCAGGGACATACCCATGAAAGTGTTTGGCACCATGCCTGGCACAAAGCCAGCAGTCCAGAGAGTGTCATTCCACCACTCCGTGTCCACTGCAAGAAGTCAGGTGCCCTGGGTCCCAGAGCCAGCTGTGTGTCCATCCGGTGTGCACAGCTCTGTCTTGTTAGCAGGGCCCCTACCACCCGGCCAGTGAGCACAGCAGGGGCTCAAGAACTTGCTAAAGTGAGCACATGACGATCTTCACCCAGACTGGCTTGACAACGGGGACCCCCAGGAAGAGACTTCTGTATTAGTCAGTTTTCATGACTGTAACCAAATATCTAATTCTCTTAAGAGGAGATGTTCATTTTGGCTCATGGTTTCGGAGACTCCAGGCCATGGTCAACTGGCTCCAAGGCAAAAGCTTCATGGTGGAAGGACGTGACAGGGACAACCCGCTCACCTCACAGCAACCAGGAAGCAGAGCAGGAGAGGAGCCGCCCAGGAAAACACAGGTTCCTCCAAGTGCCTGCCTTCCTCACAGCCCATTCTACCAGACTAAGGCCTTAAACCTCTGAGGAGGTTCGCACCCTCACGATCCTGTTGCCCATCTAGGCATCTATTAATCCAGCCAACCTGGCAAGATGACCATCACAGCCTCCATCAGAGGCAGGCAGTAGAGGCCCTGGGATGATGCGCTCTGTACGGAGAACCTTCAGGAGAGGGGATGCCTGCGTGGGCGACGGCGTGTGGCAGAGGGTCCTGTGGGCCACATAAAGTCTGTACGAACATATGTTTCAGTCTATATGTCCTCATCTATGTACCCTTGCATGTATACATAGAGGTACTGTGTACATATTCACACACACACACACACACACACACACACACACGTTTTCCACCCGAAGGTTCCATGAGGGTTGGCCAGCAGTGCCCTGCATGGAGCCTTTAGAGTTCAACCTGCCCTGGCTGCCCCCCGTCTATATTCACAGCCTTCCCTCTCAGTAGTAGTAGCGATTAATATTTATAGTTTGTACCTGGACAGTACCGCACAGCCCCGTGGTCTCAGAAGCAGGGCTTGTGGAAGGTGACTGTACCACAGGGACTCATCCACTGGCCTGGCGTGAGGCGGTGGGGGTCAGGCCACTGGATGACCCGGAAGGGCTTATCTCCACTTCTGGCTCCAGCCTTTATGCTGCTTCCTGGTTGCCGTGATGCAAGCAGCTTTGCCTCCACCAGACGCTTCTCCCTCACGGCTTCCTGCCTTGGAGCGGGCCAGCTCCGGCCTGAAAAGCTGAGCCAGGGTAAACCTCTTTCCTCCAAGTTGCAAGTGTCAGGTATGGTACCCCAGGAGCAAGGAAAGTGGCTCAGATGATCCATTTCCCAGGTGGGACAACTGGGGCTCAGAGAGGAGAAGTGGACCACACTGTGACACCTCAGTGTAAGGCCCAGGATTTGAGTCACACAGCAGCACGCCAGAGTCCAGCCGCTTCTCCACAGCCACGGCCCTGGCCCCGGCCATGCCCCTGAGCACCATGATGGCTGTGCCACCCGCCTGGCTCCCAGCTGTGCTCCGTTCTTCAGCCTGGTCTTCCCGTGCAACCTGTCCTAAACGCTCCATCGGAAACGCTCTAGGATCCCCCAACTTACTCGGTGAAAATTCCAAAGCTCCTCCGGAGCCCCCGAGCTGCCTTTCCCAGGTGGCTCTCTCGGGGCTCCTCCCCTTGCGTGTGCTTGTCCTCGGGGGGACCTGGCCGACTGGAGAACAGGGAACTCAGCATTTGTGAGAAGCAAGAAGGACTTTGAGTCCAGGGAAAGTTTGCTGAGTGAATAAATGAGAACAAGCAAAATGTCTCATCGATGGAGGCCCAAGGGAGGCATGTCACCCTCGGGAGTTGATGCATACGCGGCGAAGGGTTTCTACCAGATTATTCGCGGGGTCTGGGCTGAGGGCCATTGTGCGGGTTGGCGATGCCCTCTGGTGTCCTCTTGCCTTTCCTCTGACGCTGAGGAAGCACAGCCTTCCCATCAGGGGACTTCGACGCGGGCGTTCTCGGGGTTGTGTGAGCGGGAGCGCAGCCAGAGCCTGCTGTAGAAGCCTGTCGAGCGACATGCGTGGACGTGGCCAGCGCTCAAGCGCAAGGTATAGCCACACACGGAACCCTGACCCCGCTGCCGCAGTGCACAGCCGCCCCCAAACGAACGGCTCAGTCCAAAGAGCGCTTGCGCTCACAGACCTCCGGAGCGGACTGGTGGAGGAAGGGGACCTTCTTCACACGGCCACGCGTGCACCCAGACTCCATTCTCCAGGGCTCTGCCACCTTCGATGGATGGGCTCCAAGGCCCCAGCAGAAAAGGAGAAGGGGACCATTGCTGCAGGCTGTGTCATGGCCGGTGCCTGGCGAGTGGAGGTCCCTTCTGTCCATGTTCCGAGGCGCCACCTAGATGCAAGGAGGTGGGGGGGCGCCTCCTAGCGGCCACACAAAAAGCAAGAGGCCCTAATGAGCACCTGCATTGTCTCGCCTCACAAGCAAGAGGTGACACTTGGTCTCCAGGACCCACAGACAATGGGATCAAAACCAGGCGCCTGGTCTGGGCCTGGCCTGGGACCCAGGCTGCTGGTCCTGTGGTTACCTGCGGTCTGGGTGGAAAGCCTGCCATCCAGGAGGAAAAGACAATCTGGAGAAAGAGTGCAAAGTGCACCTGTCCGGAGCGGGGCTCCTGAGGGCAGAGAGAGGTAAAGCCCGGAAACAAGGAACTCAGCCTGGAGCTGGGCCTCTTCTGCGATGCAAGCCCGGAGAGAAACACCAGCCACCCACCTGTGCCTGAGGGCTCGGAAGATGCGCTTGAGTCTGGGTTCTCTGAGCCCTGGAAGATCTCATGCTCAGGGGTAGCATGGCAGTGGAGGTAGGGACAAAGTAAGCATGCCTCAGGGAGCATCCTAGGGGACAGGTGGCACCCACAAGAACTGAGATGAGATGTCCCGGTGACTGGGAGGACAGAGCTACGCCTGTGGCCTCACTTGTATTCACAGGCTATGGATGTGGCACCCCACATATGCCCTGGAGGAAGGGCTCTGAGACCGTGTGGACTTTGTCATGGCTCTAGGCCAGCCCCACGCCTTCACCCCGGTGCTCAGCTCCGTAATGCAGCAGGACTAGAGATGAGGGTAGAGGATGGGTGCTGACCACGGATCTCCAGCTCTGGGACATCAGCCCCATTTCACATTTGTACAGAAGAGCCAGTTTGGAGCCTCAGGCCTACTTGGGTAGGAGACTGACCCCCTTACTCTCTCATGCCTGTCCTAAAGGGCCAGATCATGTCCCTGCCCCCCACAACTGTTGGGTCCCACCATGTCCTTTACTCTGGCCAGCACCACAAAGCCACCATTCCCTGGAGAGGAGTATGAGGTCATAGGGACAGGAAATAAGGCAGCGAGAAGGTGCCCCTACCCGGCCCCAGAGGATCAGAAGTTCTGGACAGAGGAAGACTCCAACTATGCAGAGAGAAGCTGAGTGGACTCAGGCAGTGGAGAAAGGTTTACAATGAAGACAATTAGCACTCAGAGTGCTGAAGATTCCAAGGGCTGGGCCGTTCCACCTCCAAAGAGCAACTTCCTTGTCGGCCCACCCTGCATCCCAGGCAGAGGATGCCACCGTCCTCCAGCCCCTCCAGAGTCAGGCTGAGCACCAGGCCACCTGCCCCCTCATGATAAATCAGAGCTGCTAGCGCCTTTCTTCTTCCTGATCTTCTCTGTCTGTCTGATAAACACTCCAGAATCTGACAGAAGTGGAAACTCTCTCCTTCAGGAAAAGAAAAATGTGTGTGTAGCTCCTTTCAATTTTTGCATACAAGGCTGGGGAGATAACTCAGCGGTCTAAGCGCCTGCCTGACCAGCACAAGGACCCAGGTTCCATCCCCAGTACCACATGCCATGCTAGGACAGGGCATGGTGGCACATGCCTATAATCCTAGCTCTGGGGAGGCTGAGACAGGAGGATCACTATGAGTCCAAGCTGAGTAGCAAGACCCTGTATAAAAAAATGAATAAATAATTTTTTTAATTTGCATACAATTCAGTGCATTCTCAGACTCTTTAAAACCCACCCAGGAACTCTTTACAGACCAACGAGTATCCTTAATTTATTCAGTGACTCAATAAACATCTATTAAATATCTACTAACAATTGATACATGGGTTACTTCCTACGGCAGCTACCTGTCATAGTTCATATCTAGACGTCTCCCCAACGCCTGGGGGGCTCGGAGGCTTCGTAGAAGGTCTATGGGGTGTGACAGCGGGCTTCCTGGAAGGAGGTCTGGTGGGAAGAGGCAGATCACTGTGGCTGAGATCTGGAGGAGTATCTGCCTCCCGGTTTTTTCCTCTTGGCTCTCTGCCTCCTGGAAACCACGACATGAGCAGTGTTTCCTCTGCCAAACTGCTCCATCCGGCCCTTCTTCCCTGAAGCTGGCCCACTGTGGAGTGAAACCACGAACCAGAATAAACCTCTCCTCCTCTAAATTGCAGGCGCCAGGTGTTGTGTCCCAGCCAGGATGAAAGTAAGAACGAGCCACTGCTTCTTTAGGGCTGCCACCACAGTCCCCTGGGAAATGCCTGGGAGGCTTAGCCCTGCCGCCGAGCACGGTTCTCAACGTTGCCTGCCCTTTGCAGTGACCTGGAGAGTTTCTCCAAAGCCTCATCTCAACCCAGGAGGCTGGGCCTCTGGAGGTCGGGCCCGGGCAGCCCTAGATGATCCCAGCACGTAGCCAAGGCGAGCGCCGCCATCCCAGACACCCAGTGTGCTTTTGTGAGCTCTCTGGGTGACTGGGATTTATAAGCCAGGCTGTTCACTTATTTATTCATTTGATCATTTGTAAACACTTACTATGGGCCAGGCAGTGTGCTGGACATTGGAAACAGGGCAGAGAATAAGAAATCAAAATCTCTGCCTAAGCTGAGATTCTGACCATGAATACCCAACACATAATGTTGTCACAAGCAACAAATATTGGCAAGTGGTGTAAAAAAAAAAAAAAATAGTAGGAAGTTCTTGGCAAATTAAAGATGGCTTCAGCCGGGGAGATAGCTCAGTAGAATAAGCGCTTGCCTGGCAAACACAAGGGCCTGAGTTCAATCCTCAGTAGAGAAAAAAAAAAAAAAAAAAACTGCGGCTTCTCAAGAAAGGGGTCCTTGAACTCAAGCTCGAAGAATGAGAACCCAAAAGATAAGCATTCAGACGGTGGGGACAGCCTTTCAAAGGCCCTGTGGCAGGGCAGACCTTGGAAAACCTGTAAAGAATTTGGATTTAACTCCTGTCTGTGGTGTTCTCTCTGGCCTTGTCATTACTTCAGAGAGGAGGCAGAGGCTGGCAACACTGGTGATGCGGGGCAGTGTTTCACCCACCCATGGAGTGGGGGTTGCCTACTCCATGAGCTCCTTTTGCCCAGCCCCTCCCTCCAAGCAAGGCCTCTGATGTAACTTACTGTTGTCACAATAGCATTGTTCTTCTTCCTGCACCTCACAGGCCTATCACCATGGGAACAGAGCCAGCCAATCAGAATGCTCGGTTTTAAGAGGGCAGCTATATAAATCAGGTCACCTCTCCCCTGAGAGGCCACAATCACCAGAGGCCTCTCAGGGCTGCTTCCTCCTGGATAAGCCAATCCCACCACCCCCTATTTCCCCCAAGGCAGAAGAAGGGGGGTCTTCTGCCTGTGGTCCTCGGGGGACAGAGGCGAGCCCATGGTCAACTAGCTCAGATATCCAGCCACCCAGACAGCCAAGCTATGCAGCAGCACTTCGGGAGTCCCTGAGAGCCTCCGGGAGCACCCTGACATGTGCCCGCAGCCAGCAGAGCCTGCTCCATAGCATGCTGTACCCCCGACTGGAAGACCAAAGTAATGCCAGCCTGGGGAGCAGTGGCTACACAGGGGATGAGGAAAATAGTGACCTCAGCCTGGTAGGCAGCCGTCGAGTCCCAAGGTTGATCAGAAAACTCACCATCCACGTGGGCAGCTCTTCAAACAGTCAGCTGAGCGCTGCGTACTCTCCCAGACTGCTGAAGAGCTCCCGGCGCAGCCAAAGCCAAGGTCAAGGCCCTGGCACCAAGCAGGCTGGAGGACAGCGAAACCAGCCAGCCGGGCAGCAGTAACAGCAGCCTGGGCAGCAGCAGCTTCATCAGCCCGGGCAGCAGCTTCCTGACTTACCAGGTAAGCAGTAGCGGGCTGCTCAGTGTCTCCAGCAGCCAGGCCGCCAACCAGACCAGCAGCCAGCAGAGCCTCTGCCCCAGCAGCAAGGGGCAAAGCGCACTGAGCAGCAGCACTAATCTTCAAGAGGACAAGACAGAGGAGGGCAGCACGAAAAACAGCGGTGAGGGACCCCAGGGCACGCAGCCTGCGCAGATGCACAAGCCTTTGTAAGACTCCAGCCCTGAGATGTTAGCTGCCACAGGTTCTAACTGTCACAGATACAAAGGCCCTGAAGGTCAGGACTCCCCACAAGAGGCTGCCAACACCATAAGAAAGGCCTTTAAAACTTGTGCACTGTGTTGAAGCCTTCAAGGGAGAGTCCTATCTCTCTGCAGCAGCCAACAGCAGGCAGACCACACATGGCAGCACAAGAATGTGGAACAACATCTACACTGAAGGTCAGTGGTCAGTGGCGAGGCACCTCTATCAAGAAGAGCTGCCAGCTAGAAGAGTTGCAGCAAGATCCATCTAGGCTGAGACCACAGCTGTAGGGACCACTGCTGTCGGGACCACCACTGTCAGGACCACCACGGTCAGGACCACTGCTGTCGGGACCACTGCTGTCGGGACCACCACTGTCAGGACTACCACGGTCAGGACCACTGCTGTCGGGACCACCTCTGTCGGGACCACCAGCAGTGACAACAGTACCGTGAGCCTCCATGACAGAACCATCCACATCTGTAGTGAGCCCCACAGTGGCAGAACCAACAGCACAAAACCCTTCAGTTGTGCCAATCGCAAGCTGTATTAAGAACCATCAGAAGCTAGAACTTTCTGCCATGGAATTGTCCTAAATGGTGAGCACTGTTGACAACCAACACCAAGCAGGATGAACTCAAACCAGTACCAACCCTGGCACGAGTGTCCACGTCCAGTGCCATCTGGAGGAAGCACCCTGCATAGGGAGCCATGGCCCAAGGGAGCTCAGTGCCCCCTAGCTCTGTACCACACACTGTCCACAGTGGACACGGCTCACAGAGCACCCCCCATGGCTCCCAATACCAACCCCAGCAGAGCACAACCCACAGGACTGTCTGTGGGCTAGGCAGTGAATGCCACCAGCCCAGAAACAGCTGTCTAGAGAACACTGGGAACTATGTCAAAGGACCCAGCCCTGAAGAGTACCACAGATGGAAGCTTCCACTCCTTTCTGTGCTCTGCTCTAGGCTACGGCAGCCCAGAATCCTCCCTAAGAGTGGAGGCTCCCGGACACCCACTCATGCCTCTTCGTGGTTCTCAGAGAGGAAGGGAGAGGCATGGGGGCAAGAGGAGGAGCCAGGAACTGTCCTTCATTCACGTGGTTGGAACTGTGCTTCACGTGGCAGATAATGCCACAACAGTTGCTTAGTGGTGACAGAGACCAGCCCAGCCAAGACTAGCAAGGCAGGTGCTCTGGGCCACTGAGTGAATGTCACCCAAGTGGGTGGTGGGAAGGCTGAAGTCAGCTCTGCCCCTGCTCAGGACCAACAGCCCCTCCCTGAGCTGACCTCATCAGACCTTGGGGAGCAAGAGGATCCACAGGGGAAGAGGCCACAGGCAGCCTAAAGACACCCACTGGGTACCAGAAGGAATGCTGAGGGGGGCACCAAAGATAATAAAGGTGTCTGGAGAGGTCACACGTGTGTGGTTCTGTGTGTGCGGCCCCGGCCAGGGCTGAGGTATAAGTGGGCACAAACTCGTGATAGAACCATGCAGACAACTCAGCTAAGCCACCAACGCAGCCACTTTTGAGTGGGGCATAATGGTATTAGTCTCCATTTCTTTTCCTGAAAGAGGGAGACAAGGAGCCTTATTTCGTACAGAGGAGGGCTGTGCAGATTACATGGTATGGGTAAGAATGGGAATCAAAGTAATGGGTACTAAATTCTTCCTGGCTGGGAAGACAGCTCAGCAGTCTAAGCACCTGCCTGACAAGCACACAGACCCGGGTTCGATCCCCGGTACCACATGCTGTGCTCCACTGAAACCCTGGTTGCACTGTGCCAGCCACTGAAACCAGGTGTAGTGGCACAAGCCTATGATCCCAGTGCCAGGGAGGCTGAGACAGGAGGATCACTCTGAGTCCAGGTTGCACAGTGAGACCTTGTACCAAATAAATTAAGATTAAATAATTCTTCCTTTCCCAGTATGTAAGATGAGTGGTTTCATCCTGTTTCACGCACATAAAGGACGATTGCTGCTCAGATGGAAATAAAGTCCCTGACCACCTCCTCCTCCTCCTCCCAAAACCGTGGAGCCGCATCTGCTCAGGGCGAGAAGCTGCGGCAGAGGGGCCGGTGGGTTTAGGTCTCTGAGCGTCGCTTTGAGCACTTGGTGGAAGGGGAAAGGGGGCTTGCTGGGACTTGTTTTAAAGCCGCTGTAGTGTTCTGCTCTCCAACACAACACTTGGCAGCCACCCACAGGGGAGAGGTTGGTTTTGGCTCAGTTTTGGAGGTTTCAGGCCATGCTCAGCTGGCTCCAAAACAGAATCCTCAAGGTGGAAGAGCACAGGAGACGCAAGCTGCCCCAGTCAAGGGGCAGGACAGAAAGAGGGCAGGCAGTACCTCTCCAGCAGCAGGCCTCCGTGACGGCCACCACCACCTCACAGCACCTCCAAGCAGAAACCCACCCGTGGGTGAGCTACTGTACTGATGAACGCAGAGCCCCTGCCCCAGCCATCCTTCGAAAGCCCTGCTTTGAACGTGTAAGACTCAGGAGACCTTTCAGATCAAAAGCATAGCAGACCCTAGCCCTGCTCTATCCCCAGGACCCGGCCACCTCACTATGGCCCCACCTCTTAGTGCCCTCAGATTAGGAGACTACGTTTCAAAAAGGACCACAAAGATCTAGCTCCTGGCCCCAAGTCGTTCCTTCTCCTGTGCAAGTGTAGCTCCGAGAACCTTGGCCCCCCCACCCCCAGCCTTTCCTCCCTTCAGGACTCTCCTGTTGTGTTCCTGCCCCCCAGAGAAGAGAACACAGAGCAAGCGACTGGGGGCACAGCCACCCTGGACAAATGTACTCTGGACACCCCTCACACTAAGCCACAGGCTCCTAGGACATGACGCTATCAAAGCTGACTACCACATGGCCTCATTATGACAGCCTCCTCCCATGAGCCTTTGCACCCGATGGTGTCGCTGTGACCAACTGTCCCAGCACCTCACCTCTGCCGCTGCTGCTGCTGCTGAGCCCCTGGCTCTCTACCTTCCCTGGGATAACTGGGCGTAAGTGATGCTCTGGACCTAGAAGTGCCCCCAGAACTCCCAGGCGTGTGGAAGACAATGTGGTCACGGGGCCCTGTGCCCTCATTGATGAATTCACAGCTGGCCTGCTCCTAGGAAGGAGGCCTGGGGAATGGTTGACACAGTCAAGCCGAGAGGTTCAGAAGTTAAATTAAGTGAGTCAGCAGGGAGCCAGGGTCCTCAATTCAGAAACCTCCTCATCCCACGCAAGAGAGGGTGGGAAGATGGCGTGAGTGGTACCCCAGGCCTAGGGCAGGGAGCCTGCTCACCGTAGAAGGGAGGAAGGAAGCTTGCACCCTCCCTCTTTTGCTCCTGGTGCTTCTCTGTCTCCTTCCACCTTGAGCTGTCGATTATGGACGGCAAACTCCACTAGCTAAATAAATCTTTCCACCTTTAAGTAGGGTTTCAGATATATTCATCGCAGCAAGGAAAGAAGAGTGACCAAGCCACCCGGGCTGGAGGCGGTCTCCGGGCCCATGGCCAGGATCCCTGCCCCGGCTCCTCCCTGCTCTCTCTGCCTCCTGGCTTCTGAGGGCTGAGCTCCTTTTCTTCCATCGTACTCTTTCTGTCTTGGTGCCTTCTCACCATGGACTTCTAAACCTTGAACCAAATTAATCCTATCTCAATTGCAGGCGTCAGGCACTGTGTCCAGTGACAAGGAAGTGACTAAGATAGAATACGTAGGACTGGGCATGGTGACACATGCCTGTAATCCCGGATCATTGTAACTTTGAGACCAGCCTGGGCTACAAGTGAGAACAGGGCTAGTCTGACCTGCAGAGAAAGACACTGTCTCAAAAAGACTCAAAAAAAAAAAAAAAAAAAGGCCGGTGAGCTATCTCAGCAGACCAAGCGCCTGCTTAGGCAAGCTTAGGAACCGGGGTCTGACCCCCGGCACCACATGCCATGCTGGCCCCACTTCCAGAGCAAGCTGAGCCAGCCACCGAGAGCAGGCATGAGAGCACATTCCTGTAATCCCAGCACTGGGGAAGCTGAGACAGGAGGATCACTACGAGTCCGAGCCACATAGTGAGACCCTGTACCAACTGCATTAAAAAAAAAATAAAGTACATTTAAACACACACACACACACCCACACACACACACACACACGCTGCCCCGAGACTGGGCGTAGGCATCAGTGTTCCCTAAACTTCCCCATACGTGTTGACTTTGCGGTGCAAAGGCACAAAGCACCTGAGATGGCATCTAGGGAAGACAGGTCAACTTGGGCCCTGACCCTGGATTACTCACCCTGCTGCCTTGGGCCTGGGTGGCTCGGTGCGCTGTGGCGAGAGCACGTGGCACGGAAGGTTTGTGTAGCACTGTGGCGGTGGCAGCCGGGGAGCACAGAGAAAGGAAAGGACAGGGCTGTGTGTCCCTTCAAGGCCATGCCTGCAGCGACCTGACTTCCTCCCGCCAGACCCGTCTCCTACACCCTCTACCATACCTCAGGAGCAGCACAGGCTGGCACTCAAGCCTTTACAGGGCCACAAGGACCCGGAGCACAGCACCCGTGGTGACCCTGTGCAGGCAAGGATTGGGAAAGGCTGCCCTTGATGTCTTCAGCCCCTGGGGTCAAAGCCCGCGCACACCTGGAGGGAAGAGGTAATACAGGGGGGTGGGCTACAGCCTGCGCAAGCTGAGAGCCACGTCTCCTCTGGAGAAAAGCCAGGGGCCCAGAATCCTGTGTGGCGTCTGGTTTTAAATACTACTCATACATTGAAATTTTTTTAATCTTTTATTTATTTATTTGTTATAGGATCTCACTACGCAGATCAGACTCATCAGTTATCCTCCAGTCTCAGCCTCCCCAGCACTGGGATTACAGGCATGCGCCACTATGCCTGGATTCAGTGCCAGCAGGGTGAACCCAGGGTTCGGAGGTTGGCACGGCATGTGGTAACTGATAGGTCAGAATTCCCAAACACCCTCCCTCTTGGTTTCCCAGGCACCCTGTCCCCGAACTCTCTCCCCCTTGGCTCCAGGCAGAGCCAAATTCAAAACTGCAGAAGAGGTCCACCTGACTGTGACCTGGGCAAGCAACCTCGAAGCTCTGCTTTGTTGACATTAAAGGTCCCCCACAGACCAGGTAGCCCTGCCAAGTTCCCTCAGCTGTTCCAGCAGTTATCACCCTCCCTACAGGATCCTATAAAGTCTCCTGTCCCCTCTTCGTTCACTGTGTCTTGGTCCACTAGACAGCCAGCCTGCTTGATGCCCCCAATAAATCTTCTACTCGAGTCAGAATGCCTGGCCCAGTCGATTGCATGGATTTGGACCTAACGGTAACAGGGATCAAACCTGGGTCCTTGAGCTTGCCCGGCAGGCGCTTAGACCACTGGACTATCTTCCCAACCCATCTTTTTTATTCATTCATTCATTCGTTCATTCATTCATTTGGTACAGGGTCTTGCTACACAACTCGGACTCATAATGATCCTCCTGTCTCAGCCTTCCCAGCGCTGGGATTGCAGTCACATGTCCCCATGCCCAGTTTCTGTAGCAGGCTCATTATGGGCCCAGCAAGGCATGTGGTACCAGGGATTTAACCCAGTACGAGCAGATGTTTCTACTGCTGAGCTATCTCCCCAGCCCCAACCAATCTTTTTTTAAAGAAAAAAAAAGCAAATGAAAGCATTTCTGAAGGCGGGAGAAGACCCATAAATCTGTCAGCTTCTAAACACAACACAGCAATCTTTTTGAGAAAAAACGTCTACCTCTAGACCTCACCTGCTTAAACACAGCCAGCTTTCTCCCATGGTCCAAGGGTCTGACACACCGCTGGCCACTTCCCTGTCCCTCCAGTGTTCCCGACTGTCGCGCACACACAGAGAATCACAGAGGCCCAGCGCCCTGCGGAGCTGAAGTCTGGGTCCTCGGACCCACTGTGCTGCTGCCCTCGTGGCTGGGGCGTGTTGTGCGGTAAGGCCGACCCTGGCGGACAGGCCTGGCTTCAGGTCTGGAGAGATTGTGAGAGCTCTGTAAACACTCACTTACACGGTTTTGTGCAAACATCAGTTTTTCCTTCCGTCTGGATAGAGATCTAGGGGTGGGAGTTTGGGGGCACAGGAAACGAGTGGAGCGTTAGAAGTAAGGACCAAGCCATTTTCTAGAGATACCCATCCAGTCAGCCATGCTTTAGTTTTGAGGCAGTTTGGTTTGGTTTGGTGTTTGATTTTTATGTATGTGTTTGTGGTACTAGGATTGAACTCACAATATGCAAGTGCACTACCACTAAGGTACACTGTCTATCTGTTTCTCTATCTCTGACTCTGTGTGTGTGAGTCTCTCTCTCTCTCTCTCTCTCTCTCTCTCTCTCTCTCCCTTCTGTCTCTCTCCCCCCTTCTCTCCCTCT